GGACAAGCGCTATCTTCTTACATTACATAAATAAAATCCGAAAAAATCACGCCAGTGGCTCCATTGTAATATAATCCAAAATTCCTTCCCAGTTTCCTAACGTAGATTTGGTTGCCCAGTCCCCCTCACCCCTTCCCCTCTGTATATAAACCAATTTCCTGTTCCTCTGTATCCAATCCCGAGAAATTTGCTCTGCGAGGACCAAATCAGAAAAAACCAAAGACAAAATCCCTTTTCCTGTTTCTGTTTCTGCACAAATATCCATTTAAATCCAGGTATTTTTCTTAATTCTTTGATCCCGCATTTCAATTGTTTAAGTAAACGTTTTGCCTTGTGTTTTTATGTTTGATTTGTTGGTGATGGCATTGACTCATCTTTGTAATGGGTATCAGTTTAGGATTGAATCTGAGGTTTTCATCGAATCCGTGAATTGGGTTTTGATAAAGAAGTTAGATTTGGGATTAATTCTTGGTTTATGAATGGTGGTTTCGTGGGAATTTGTGAGAGAGCTTATGGATCGCATTATTCAGCTTGACTGTTTTTGTGGATGTGGTTTCAGTGTAATGTGGGTGGGTTGAGTGCAGCCGTGCAATTGGGAGACGACTTCTTGTGGCACACGGAACCCAAGTGGTGTGAGGCACGGTGTGCTTTGTGTTGGAATGCTAATGGTCGATTAAAATGCATGATTCTTTTTGTTTGTTTAGTCGGTCAACCAACTGAAGATAACTATGAAGGAAAAAGTGAAAAATAAGAAAAAGAACTTCATTAAATATTTTTCAACATAGTTTTATAATTAGTTGATTCTGTTTCTTTATGGGTATTTTTTGCTAGACCACAATATTCACAATTTTTTTTTTTTTTTTTCCATTTGATTGTCTATTGAAGTCACGGATTGTGCCCAAGGAAGGATTTTTATTCTGAATTTGCCATCCGAGTTGTGATTATGTGCCCTTGTCATCTAAATTTTTGAATTTTTTGAGCAGGTATTAGTGTATGGATTCCAAGTCTGTTGTGGATATGATAGAGGCCTCCTCAGGGGTCCATTTCTCTGGGTTCCATATGGATCCTTTGGAGTCGACAATTATTGAGAAATCCACAACCTCACCCTCAACTGACAATATGCACAAACAACCTTTTGTTATTGGTTAGTGTCACCACTGATGTTTTGTTTAATTGCTAGTGTAATATAATCTTTTAAATGCATAAATGCTTAGATTAGATTTGAGGAAAGCATGGTGTAAAAAAGTTGACTCAAACTGTCAAACTGCCTGATTATCTTTGTTAACCAGTGTTGATATTGAAAAGCAATTTAGTTCTTTTGACTTGATAGTAGCCATATTGTAGGTAATATCAGTAAAACATCCTTGCAAAGTATTTATTGTGTTTCCAAATGTTTGGCTATTCTCGGTGCAGCTTTCTTCTACAGTTATTCCTCTTTCATGTAATTATTTTGTGGTTCATGATTTTTTGGGCAGGGGTTGCTGGTGGAGCTGCATCTGGTAAGACTGCAGTCTGTGATATGATTATTCAACAACTTCATGATCAGCGTGTTGTACTTGTTAATCAGGTAGCTTTCTTGGGTAACAGACACCCTCAAAAACTTATATTTTGGAGTTTGTTTCTTTTTTCCAGAATGTTTTGGAGCCTTTAGAGAAAGCTATTTGTATAAATTTTATTGCAACCTTAATATTGTGTCAGGATTCATTCTATAACAACCTCACTGAAGAGGAGCTTGCAAGAGTTCATGAATACAACTTTGACCATCCAGGTGAGAACAGTTCTACAATATAATACAAACTATCCAAGAAAATATTATTTATGTTCTTTATGCTAGTTTTTGCTTGTGTGAAATTCTTCGTAATGCATTATTTCTCTTAATTCAGATGCATTTGACACTGAGAAATTATTAGATTCAATGGATAAGTTGAGACATGGCCAAGCAGTAGATGTTCCAAAGTATGACTTCAAGAGTTACAAAAGCAATCTGTTTCCAGCAAGAAGGGTACAGTCTTGAGATGCCCAGCAAATATTTTATTCTATATTCGACACACATTTGTATTTCTAACTTGGTTGTTTGTAAATTTCTGAGCTCTCTTCTTTCAAATCTAAAAATTCATGAAATATATTATGTTCAGCATGGCACGTAAAGGTGGTTTGTGCTATGGACATATGTTTCCTTGTTAAGATGTTTAGAATTGAATCAACTTGTTTTGAATTCCAATGCAGCTCTAGTAAGCCTCTACTTTTGGACTGTTATCCACCTATAAAGATGCATTTTAGATTGGTAAATGCGAATCTACTATTATGGCTGTGTTTGTTTTAGTTTCAACACCTTTTTTTTTGACAATTGCTTGAGATTAAACTGATGAACCAATAAAATATGATGTGTTTGGTGGTGATTTACAAGTGCTAAGGCATAAATCATGTGTAGGTTGGATGATATTTTTTGTTTGCATTTACAGAAAGTTTTACACTAATGAATGATATTTTGATTAAAGGTTCTTTTGCTATTGTGCATGTAGAAACTCTCATTACTATAAAATCTTCTGTAGGTCAATCCATCAGATGTCATAATTTTAGAAGGCATACTTATTTTTCATGATCCTCGTGTCCGGGAGCTGATGAACATGAAGATATTTGTTGATACAGGTTAATAAGTTTACCAGTTATCACTTAACCGTGCTCCAAGGCAATATCTTTTTACTATGTTGATTTTTTTATTTTTTATTTTTATTTTGACTCACTTGTCTCACTTGGTTGCCATCACCATAAATGGTTTTTAAGAAATTTAGAAGAGTGACTGGGGAGCATATTTTACCCATAATTTGTTCTTCCATACTATTATTAAGATGGACTATTACTTCACGTTGTAAAATTTTCAGCGCAGATGCTGATGTACGATTGGCAAGGAGGATAAGGCGTGATACGGTTGAGAAGGGAAGAGATATTGCCACAGTGCTTGATCAGGTTGGTGTTTTTCACTTTGGTATTTAAAGAGTGGGTCTTTAGTTCTTAATTTTTACAAGTTCAATTTCCCTGATATAAGTGTGATTAATTTTGATGCAGTACTCAAAATTTGTAAAGCCTGCTTTTGATGATTTTATTCTTCCAACAAAGAAGTATGCTGATATTATTATTCCACGAGGAGGAGATAATCACGTGGCCATTGATTTGATTGTGCAACATATTCGCACCAAGCTTGGTCAGCATGATCTCTGTAAAATCTACTCAAATCTATATGTCATTCAATCAACTTTTCAGGTACAATTCTTGCCTTTGTTCTAGTTGCTAAACTAGATCTATATGAGGACAATATTGCTTGCATTTGTGTGTCTATGGGTATACTGGAGCTTCCAATGTTAGCTGTTTCATGTCAATTTAGCTTCCTTTTTAAGAAAGTCTTTCCTCTTCTTTTTTTTTTTGGATTATGCATGGTTTTGAGAGGAGAGGAGGGGGATGTAATTGGTTCAGTTACTTGAAATTTCACTAATTGCTTTGGTTTCATGCAGATTCGAGGTATGCATACCCTCATACGTGACTCTCAAACAACAAAACATGACTTTGTTTTTTATGCTGATCGGTTGATTCGTTTGGTGGGTATATGTTCGTAAGCGCAATTGATTTATCTTGGTTCTTTTTTTTTTTTCCTTTGGGCCATCATTTATCTTGGTTTCATCGCACTGGGATGGGATGCGACAAAAAATTTCCTTTGGTTTCTTTCTTCTAACAAGTCTCTCATCTTTCCTAGGTTGTTGAACATGGCCTAGGACACCTGCCATTTACAGAAAAACAGGTGATCACTCCAACTGGTAAGCTCATTTTCTGCAATCATCTCCTGGACAATGTAACTATTGTATTATACACAGTATATTTGAACTTTAGTTCTGGTTGGTTATAAGCTTCAATGGTGTATTGTATTGGTTGTTGGAATTTTAATTGTGTTTCTGGGTGCAGGGTCTGTTTATACTGGTGTGGATTTTTGTAAAAGGTTGTGTGGTGTGTCTGTTATTAGGAGGTACAGTGCTGGTTTTAGATCTCATAGCTCTTCAACTATTTCAACATGCTTGATGCTGAACAATTAGCTAACATTTTCTTAAACCATTACAAGTGGTGAGAGCATGGAGAATGCTTTGCGAGCATGTTGCAAGGGTATCAAGATAGGGAAGATTCTGATTCATAGGGAAGGTGACAATGGTCAGCAGGTTTGGAAATTGAATGGCTTCTCTATTGTGTGTGTGTGTATGCAAGAGTGATTTTCTCCTAATTGTTGACTGCTCCATGCTTCAATGATTAACCAGCTTATCTATGAAAAATTGCCACTAGACATATCAGAACGGAATGTATTGCTACTGGATCCCATTCTAGGAACAGGTTTGTCTGTTTATTATGGTTGATAGTGCTCTTTTGTCAAGCTTGTATGCTTTTGAGTTTTTCATTTTTCCTGGCCTTTTTAATTCTCATCTGGTTTGCATGCCTACCTGTTTTTGTGCCATCTATCCAGTCGGTATTCATCCACCCCTAGAAAATTATCTGGTATTTTTTCCACCTAAGAAGGGACCTATAGCTCATTCTGTGAACTAATCTAAAATCTCTTATCTCATGAGGGCTGCTCTTATTTTTCTTGGCTTGTATGCTAATTCTAGTCATACACACTAGAAGTAGTTCTGCACAGATATTCCATTATTACTTAATATCGGAAGAATCTAATTAATTGATTGATAATTACTCTTCTCGTTTATAAAGTTTAACATATCAGGCTTCTATACAGGCAATTCAGCTGTTCAAGCTATAAATTTACTTATAAGCAAAGGTGTTCCAGAGTCCAACATCATTTTTCTCAATCTCATTTCCGTAAGTCATAATTGCTTTGAAATTCTTCTGGTTTTTCAATCTCTGAAATGTTTCTTTGTCCTTATTCTTTCTGACAGCTAGTATGGAGATTTGACTTGTATAATTTGTTGGACATAATTTCTCTTGGTTTACCAGGCACCCCAGGGTGTGCATGTGGTGTGCAAAAGCTTCCCAAGAATAAAGATAGTGACATCTGAGATTGATATCGGACTAAATGAAGATTTTCGTGTTATTCCTGGCATGGGAGAGTTTGGAGACCGATATTTTGGTACAGATGATGATTACCAGCAAGTCACTCTGAAATAGTTCAGTTAACAATGCCAAATACTTCTACCTCAAGTCTTCTTGGATATTATGATGCAGATTTCTGGGAACCAGCTGAATTTTCTTGGGTTGTGTTGGTCATTGCAATACGAGTTTTAGAAACAATTTTGACTTGATTAGACATAAAATTCCGAATGTTTTGTTTTTCATATTTTTTAAGAGGAAACTCGAGTTACACTAGGGATGGGGATGCCATTGATGCATCTCCATCTTGTCATCATAAACATCAAGAAAACAGCAAGCCAAAAAATCCCCCACTGAAGAAAAAGCTTGCTGTAATTTCTTTGTATGGTTTTCACAAGGGATGATTAACTACTGTCCCAAAACTTCATAATGGCCATTACCCGTCTCCACATGATATATGTATTTGTAAAACCTTACAGTTTGCTTATTATATGTGATGATACTCAAATTCAGATGATTCTGTTCCCTGGATCTAAAATCTCATGCATCCTATATCTCCATTCTTAATGAGTTGTTGTTGCCTTCTATTCTATAAACAATATAGTGGCTGAAAAAGAGAAACTAGTGGCAGCCAGAAAATAAGCTGCCCCTGAAGAACAGGATGAGACTTGAGTCTTTCCATACGATATTGAGTTGAGTTGGGATAAAACGGGGATTTAAGAGAGGCCACCCACTGCTTTATCCAAGGATGATAACCTTCCATGGGTTAATCTTTTGACACGTGTATCCCCCTTGGCCTGGCATTTGGTTCTTCTGATGGTATATTCTGCATGAGCTGATCTATCTATATAGCGTGGTGCTTGTTTGAGCTTGTTTTTGCATTTTCCTCTTGTCCTTATCCATTTCCCTCCTGAACCATGTCTGCCTTTGTAGGAAAGTACGCAGGTACACTCTCCTATTTCAAACTTACTGAGTGAGTTGGTAACATAGGAAGAAAAAGGGTCAATAAAATGTCAACAGCATTCACTATATATCCATTCTTTCTTTGTATTGTGCAGAGGAACTGATCAAGAATGCCAGGTACATTGCCACCCCAGGCAAGGGTATCTTGGCAGCAGATGAGAGCACTGGCACCATAGGCAAGCGTTTGTCCAGCATCAACGTTGAGAACATTGAGTCCAACCGCCAAGCACTTCGTGAGCTCCTCTTCACTTCTCCCAACGCCCTTTTGCACCTCTCCGGTGTCATCCTCTTTGAGGAAACCCTCTACCAGAAAACATGTGATGGAAAGCCCTTTGTGGAAGTGCTTCAGGAAAACAATGTCATTCCGGGTATCAAGGTAGACAAGGGGACAGTTGAGATAGCTGGCACCAATGGCGAGACCACCACCCAAGGGTTTGACTCTCTTGGAGCAAGGTGCCAACAGTACTACAAAGCAGGAGCACGTTTTGCCAAGTGGCGAGCTGTCCTCAAAATTGGTCCCAACGAGCCATCTGAATTGGCCATCCAGCAGAATGCTCAGGGGTTGGCTCGTTATGCCATCATCTGTCAGGAAAATGGTCTGGTGCCCATTGTTGAGCCTGAGGTGCTGACTGATGGGTCTCATGACATTAAAAAATGTGCTGCTGTGACTGAGATTGTGCTTGCAGCTGTTTACAAGGCACTTAATGATCACCATGTTCTGCTCGAAGGCACTCTCTTGAAGCCTAACATGGTTACTCCAGGTTCTGATAGCCCAAAGGTACCACAACTTCCTTCTTCCTCCTCCCCGACCTCTTGCTTCTTTTCCTTGTTTTCTCAATATTATTGTTCCATAGGTAGCTCCAGAGGTGATTGCAGAGTACACAGTAACTGCACTTCGCAGGACTGTCCCAGCAGCAGTGCCAGGGATAGTGTTCTTGTCTGGTGGACAGAGTGAGGAAGAGGCAACGCTGAACCTGAATGCAATGAACAAGCTAGACGTCTTGAAGCCATGGACACTTTCCTTCTCCTTTGGGCGAGCTCTGCAGCAAAGCACACTCAAGACATGGGGAGGCAAGAAGGAGAATGTGTCAAAGGCTCAGAAGGCATTCTTGGTGAGATGCAAAGCTAACTCTGATGCCACTCTGGGGAAGTATACTGGAGGAAGTACCGGTGGATTGGCCTCTGAGAGCCTGTTTGTCAAGGGTTACAAGTACTGATTAAGT